ATTATATTATATAGTAGACACAAGTCTTTTTCTTCAAGTAAAATACTATAATAAAGTATTTACTCTTAATATATTTTTGTTAAAATATATTTACTCAATATTTAAAGCTATTATAATACATATACTGTATTATATTCATTAATAATACTTTTAGAACCTTTATAAGATGTATAAGAATTATCTTTACTTTATAACCTTATTAAAATTCTTACAGTTAATATATAATTATAAATAATGTGTATTCTACTATATAAGAACTATAAAGCTATATAAGAAAATGGACTTTTTCCTAACATATGTCTTACAATTAGAGGTACAGTAAACTGAGCTGTTATAGATAACTATAAAGGTGTATCTCTGGAATGTTCTGGCTCAAAGGGTGAGGGTGAAGTAGAAGATGTGGACAGATTTAACTCATCTTAGATAGGTGTGAGTAATAGTCTACTACTTCTGTTTAATATAGTGTCATACTCAGTACAGAGGAATGTAAATGTATATAGTATAGGCCTACTAAGAATAATGTCAAGTATTGTACAGGTAGGGAAGGAGAGTATATACTGAGTAAGAGAAGGGGTAGCACAATAGGAGTAAATATACATAGACATTGTTGTGAGTGTGTACTTGTTGATTGTTACTTATACTGTAGAGTAGGAAGAAGTATGTAAGTGTATAGGATTTTTAAAGAATTTGCTCAGCATTAGTTAACAATGTAGATGTAAGAATATGAATACAAAATGGAAGACAGTATAGAAAGGAGGACAACAAAGGAGAGGCAACACAATTGGCAGAACAAGGAGTAGAAGGGATGGAAGGGAGACAAAAAGTTGGGAGGAAAGGGATGAGTAACTATTGTGTATATTATTATAAAGTAGACTAGCTACTTACACTTTATATTGAGACTGAGAGGGGGCAGTGTAGTCAGCTGTGTAGGATCTAGGACTCAGTGTAGGCATTGTAACAGTAGATTGTAGAGACAAGTGCAGCAATGTTTATTGTCTACATTGTTAAAGGCAGAGTAGCAGCTAGTAGGATGCTTACAAGTAGAGAAAGACTAGAGAGAACAAAGTAACAACATAGTAGCAGGGCAGAGGGTTAGACTTAGAGAGATAGTGGACACTCAAGAGAAACAGTAGCACATATAAGTGCATCATTATATACTCTCAATCTTTAGCAGTTGATTATATAAGCCATAGAACATTTCAAATATTGTATTTAGGTATTAAATGAAATTGTTGATCTACTTTGTAATATAGTAAAAAGTAATATAATGTGCATATAGCTTTCTAAACACACTAATGTAATTATTACAAGTAGATGAAATATCTTCTACAAATATTACAAACTATTTGTATAAATAATCTAAGTATAATATATATATTATATACTTATAGTATACTTTTATTAAGATAATAACAATACAACAAGTGCTCTTTGACTATTAAATACATTAATATACCTTTGTATAAATTATAAGGTAACAATAGTTATTATTACATTATTATATTATAAATATAACTCTTTCTTTAAGATTACAATTTAAATATAATACAAGTATAATACTTTGGGTTATCATACAAAGTTAGTATAATACATATAATAGATATTATTCATCCTTAGTACTTATGTAGTCTTTATATATATTAATATGTTTATCTAAACATTATAATTCATTTACAAACATTACAATTACTTTACAATATATATACAATACATATACTACTTTACAAAGTCTATAAGAAATTACAAGAAATGTGACATTTTCCTGATGTGAGTAGTATACATAACTTGACAGATCTAGAGGTTAAAAGGAGGTGCACACAGTAAGGATAGCTTATCCTAAGTTAGAGATAGTGTACACTCAACATTGAGATAGTTACTAGTATCCTTAGGAACCTTATTTCTCCAGCCCTTTATCTCTTTACTCCTTCTTTCCCTGCCTCTTCACTCTAGCCTTGTCTTTTGCCTGGAAATTGGATGAAAATATACACACACTCCCTGTCTCTCTACTGTGTGTCTCAGCTTCTTCTTCCTTCCTATTTATTACTTTATTGACAGGGATTACAATAGTTGTAGTAGTAGGAGTACCAACTTCTGTCAGTTTGTTAGTTATTAAAGTCAAGTCTGTAACTAAGCTAGTGACAAAGATTGGATGTTAAAATTCAGTAGCCATCTTGACAATGACAGATGTGCCCTACTCTCCAGATACAAGCAACCTGTCTATATTAGGAGCAGGAATAGAGTTTACATCAAATGTGTCTAGATGGAAGACTTCCTCCCCTATGTGTAAAGTATTTGTAGTAACATGCATATTATTAGTACTCAGTATAGTGTGGATTTGGAAGGGAGTGTGGTTAGGGTTAACAGAGGAACAGTACTCCTGAATTGTAATAACCTTTAGGGCAGCAAGAAGTAACCTCAGTTGAACAAGTAATTGGAGAATGTGAACCCAGAAGCAGGAATTGTGTCTAGCCAAGGAGATACCCAAACTGGAATTAAAGCAGAATTAAAGAGCTGCTCTGAGACACAGCAAGTCATGGCTTAGCTCTATACTCTTGTTCAACTGCTCATACTACGAGATTATCAATTTAGGATCTAGGACCCAACAAATTTGAGAACTCTGCTAAAATTATTTTGTTTCAACCCAACTCACACAAAAATGCCTGTGTTGTCAATAGTGGTAATACTGCTAAGAGTAATGTGGAGGCAATCACCTCTTCCTATGGTCTTCTGTCATGGGTAAACATCTCAGCACATGGTTAAGAGTATGATTACCACTGTCGGTAAGTACATTTTGCAGGCAGAGAAATCGAAGAGAATTACAAGAGAACTACTTTACAATATGTGGGAAACATATGAAGCGCATAGCGTCTGTATGTAGAAAAGAGTAAGTTGCGTTGTATAGTCAGCATTTTTCAGTAAACGTTCCGAGAGTTGGGAGATGAAGGAATGTGCAAAAACACTAGAACGAATAAACATAATGAGAACTGAGAGAAGGGGAGAAAGGGAATCTTTGACTTCATACCAGTATTTTCATTCTCGACAAAAAAGAGCAATGGAAAATGCGTGTTTTTGCGTTCAGACTGTCCGAGTCTCATGCCCATTTCCATTTCATCTTCACCGCCAAGTACAGCTTGCTCCGTGCCTCGTCAAGCAGATAAATAGCATCATCATCTCGGATTTGCAGCTTTTCCTCAAAGGCTGCAGCATAAAATCGGCTAATGAGCTTGTCTGCTTCTGGCAATCCATCTTCTTCTAGCCAGTCGCATTCCTTTATGGGATACCTATACGCGTACCCAGAAGAGGTTGCGTGATTCAGCTCCTCCAAATCATCTTTCTAGAATTCTAACTTACCCAAGCCATTTGGTTAGCCATACATACTTGAATGAGGTCGCAGTGTTCACTGTGGATCTCCCCAATATTCGTTCAACAATGAAATAATCCTCTAATTCGTTGCTTGCTTCGCCCGGCCAGTCGCAGTCCGGCCTGCTACAGGTGTTCCCCGCGTTTCCCTTCACCGCATTTTCGGCTAAGGATACACGTTAATATGAATCTAACATTCTGAGTGACACAGATGATACTCACGATCATCGCTGATTTTATACGTAATTTAGGAGAATAGAAGACTGTTAAGACACCAACGTAAAACAAACGCTGGAAATACTCACATATAAGCACATGGTGGACAAATGAATTCTGCTTCCGGAATCAGTCTATCATCTCCTCGCTTAACTCCAACACAACGGTAGTGAAAGGATGAATCACATCTGAAATGTGAAAAAGTTAGCAAGAACTATTGCACAGAAAGAACCTTTCATACCTGTCACACATCAGGAGCTATAGAATTTAAAAGTTGTTTCAGCAACTCTTGCATACGGAGTCGAAGCGAAAAACGCAGGACATACTTGGTGATCGAATTTGTCGTTAACCATAGCTTTATCAGGCCAATCGCATTTCTGAAGAACGTCTGCAGGATGACAGAAAGACGGCTCCACCTCTTCTACCTTTTCCTGCTTTTCTCGTCGTCTGCTCTCTGAACTCGCACGACTTGAAGACTTGGTGCCCTTGTGATCGATCTTCCTCCGCTTAGACGAAGAGTTAGTTGATATTGGACTAGTTGCTCGAGTGTTGGTGGTAGTGAGTGACCTCCGAGCATTTTTACACCTTGTTTTGAGATGCCTGTTAAGGCTGGCTTTGATCGTATAGCTCCGTCCACAACCTTCGGGGCACCAATGCCTCTCTTCAGCATTCTGAACACTCTTCTCTTCATGAACCTGTGGAGCCGCTCGTTTAGAAGGAGAAGCAGAACGCGGAGCGGTGGCACTAGACAAGACAATTTCCTCTGGCTCTGGATCGGATAAGCTACTTTGACCTGACACAGACGGATTCTCGCTTATCTCAGACGCCAGAGACGTGAGTGGTGATAGACACTTGGCAAGGTCACCAGCAGGGATGCTATCTTCCGACGTGAGTGGAGAAGGACTCCTATTCAAGTCTAGCGAAAAGTCGACTTGTCCTAAATCATGATCATCGTTGATCGTTTTCTCGGCGGGGGCCTGAGATACACCCTCATCGGAATCGGTAATGTCTTCATCCGCCTTCCTCTTCAGAGTCACACTCGGGGAACGAGAGACTGACGCCTCGGCTGATGGAGGAGGTGTGATGAGCTGCCTTTGTGACTCCGCAGCTGTGTCATCACCACACACTTGCAAACTTGTCGGAATTGTGTCACACGGATCTGCAGGAGTTTCTATCGTGGTGTCCAAGGCAAGTCCTGTCCTTGTGGGAGATTCGGAGCTAGGAGCAGACCACTGATGTGGGAAAGGTGCTGTCCAGCTGGAGACTGGAGAAAGGTTCCCAACGACGGAGGTTGGTTGTAGGAGTTCGCCAACCAGTGTAGTTGCTGAGAAAGGTTCGTCTTCTTGTAAAGCGGGACCTGGGGAACCATGTCTCGGAGTTACTGACCCACTACGACTAGCTTCACTGAGGGAGGGCCCGAGTGTCACTGTCCCTGCTTGAAGAACATTAGAATGTATTTACTACTAACAATAAGAGAACCGTACTGTCAACGAAACTGGCAGTCTCTCCGGGCTTATCGTTGGCGTCCGGATCCGCATGTTCATAATCGTTGGTTATCACAGCGGTATCATGAAAGACTGGAACAAATTAAGCTATGAGTTCGTATTAGTGACTCTTCGATACATAACCACTGACCCCTTCGAGTCCCGTGCTCCCCTTTCTTACGGTTAGCCAGGATATTCAGAATTGCCCTCGCCTCTGATGAATCCCCAATGTCACCTGAAGGGAAAACAAATCCAGATTAATCCAAGATATATGCACATTAGCAATTCATGCTCACGCGCCGCCTCAGCATCCTTAAAATGTTCCATAGCCTCCTGAACATCCATAGCAAGAGCGTCCAATCGTTCCATGAGGCTTCGAGGTTTTGGCCTTAGTGAACCATGCTTATCTCCCGAACCCCTGGAGCGGCATTTCCCGACACCAACAGCGTTCTTAAGAGCAAGAAGTTCACCATGCATGGTCAAAGTTAGATTCTTATGCGTTTCTTCAAAGAGCGCTGCGAGTTCCTCCTTGTCGGCGTGTGCCTCATCACGCGCTTGTTCGATGTATTCACCTAAGCGTGTGATCAGGCACTCGAATTCTTGAAGTTGTTCTGCAAGCCGTTTTGATACGTTAGAATCCGATGCTGGAGTTATCAGAGACGAAAGAGCAGTAGTGGAGGAAGAAGCGTCGGAGTTAGCCATGGAGGTGGACGAAGAGCGTGTCTGCACTTCAAGAACTTTCAAGCGCGTTTCCAGTGATCTAACAGAGTTTTGGAGAGCTCTCGTCGTAGTCTCGTTAGCCTTGATACATCGTACAACTTCGTCCAATCTTGTACCAAGCGCAGGTAGGATCGCGTCCGCAACACCCTTCACAAGAGCTGCATCCCTGCTTTCTCTCTCCTGCCTCTCTCCTTCAAACACTTGCTTCAATCCATCCTGCACAGTCTTCGACAGCAAATTCACTCGCGTATCCACGTGTCTCTCGTATTCTTTCTCTGAGCTTAGGATGCGCTGTAACTTTTCCCCGAGCGTCGTCTCGAATTCCTTGAACCGCGTGTCTACACCTTGGACAGTTTCATTATTGAAGCGTATCAAAAACTGTGCGAACTCGTTGAAGCTCGTCGCATGCATTCGACGGTCCAATGCGTGTTCATTAGTCTCAGCCTGACGCATGTTACGTCGAGGACTTGTACGAGGTTGCAAGTCCCTCGGTAAGGGTGTGCTGCCACCATCAGCCATCAGTGGCAGCCACTCATCACGAGAACCAGCAGACGCGGTCGGGTGCAGATCTAGCTTTGTTGACGGAGAACTTCCCGTGATGGCCGTCGGCGTCTGTGGCGGGCTATTAGGGCCCATAGAGGATGCACGAGCGCTCGCAGGTGGGCGTCGGGAAGAAGATGCGTTTTCGACGCCCACGCGCGATTCACGTTTATATAAAGTAACCTTAGGATCGGATCGTTAGACGTGCATGAGGTAAACAAATTCAAACATTGTCGGGCTGAGTGAAATAAAGGTTATTGAGCGTGGCTGAAGCGACGACATGCAAAGCCAGACTAGTGATAGGTGCAAATCGTACAAAGCTCAAGAGAACGGTGCTAACGATAAAGTCGAGACCACCGATGCAAAAACGTTAATCATCCATTAATTGCGGTACACCTACTGAGACTGATCCGGGACGCAGACCAAGGAGATAAGGGCACAGAAGAAGAAAAAATTACTTTAGACGCTCATAGGAGCGATTCGACAAATAAAAGTACAATCCGACAGCAGCAATAGCAATCGATCGTCCAGATTAAAAAAAGAGTACAGAAACTATCATGGCGCACAAAATATTACAATGCATATATGGTATAATGCATAGACACTTAGATTGGACCAAATCTCAAAGTTTCAGTCAAAATGCATTTTCATAACGCATAAATTGTATCATGTTTTAAGCTTAGCTTTCTCTCGACGTTATGCAATAAGTTAGTTTCAACTGTACACATTAGCAAAGCTGTGATGTACAAATATCTTTCCTGGTTTAACGTCTACGTAGTACTAATATTAATTGTACCAGAGCAACCGAAAGTTTGAAATGTGCAGAAGGAGAAAATAATTAAGACTTGAAAACTCGAAGGAAGCGAGCCTGCGTAACTATGCGTGTGCGACAAAGGGGACACTCGCGTGTGGAGGACCAGACGAGGTCTGAACATGCCCGACATAATGCAAGATGTCTAAACAATCGGATTATCCATCCGTAAGAAATTTACAAGTACATTTCGACAGCAAGAAGGTAGGCTGCTCACCCGCAATCAACGATAACAATATTCGCATCTTCGTCTTGACATACGACACAGAGTCCACTTCGTTCTTGTGACTTGGTAGAAGGAGGTGATGAAGACCTCGATCTGTTGACTGGCTCCTGTTCTTCGCTCTTCTGTTGATGTTGCTCTTTCGGTGCATCTGGTACCGGAGACGGAGAATGTGAATGTGCCCGAATATAATCTGCTGAAGATGCGGAGTGTCCTGGTGCACTGTCATCACCATCACTGTCACTTGCACTCTCTACAGTCGTACGATACATATCCCTATGTCGCTGTCGTTCCTCTGCTTCAGCCTTCTCCCTAGCTTCGCGTTCTCTCGCCTCGCGCACAGCACGTTCTCGTTCCCGCGCAGCCCATTCGCGTTCCTGTGCTTCGAATTCTTCGCGTTCGCGTATAGCCTCCGCGTGGACTCTCTCGCGCCGTTCCGCAACAACTAAAGCTTTTACACGTTCAACAAGCTCGCCTTTCTCGAGGACAAGGCCTGGTCTAACATGATTATCATCGAGAATATCTTTGAGAACACCAATACTAAGTCCTGTGATTTCTTCTTCCTGCATAGCGAGAAGTTCGTCCAAGGTCGGGGCTTGAGGCCGAGGTGGACGAGGCTGGGACTGCTGCTGTGGAGGGCGTTGATGAGGTGGCTGGGAAGGAGAAACAGTCGGACCGGTAGTTGCAGGGCGGGTTGTTGGACTAGGATTTGGCCTTTGATTGGGTGTCGACGATGGATAATTCTGATTAGTGTAAGTCCGTGGAGATTCAAATGGAACGCTACTAGGACGTTGATTCTGAAATGCAGAATAAGCATTGTGTATGCTAGCGTTCGCATTCGCATTGCGCCGTGGTGAATTATAGGTTGCGTAAGGTGGCGGGCCCGGAGCAGGTGCATACTGATTCCTTGTTTCTCGCTGTCGCTGTTCTTGCTGTCGTAGATGGTCCTGATGCGCATTCCATTGTCTCGTAGCGTCCAGCTGCAAGTCATCGGGTTGTAAATCCGGCCGAGCAAAATTATTCGTTCGAGACCAGCCAGCTCGTGGATCGAGGTTTTGTTGCGGTTGAACACGTTCTGGTCTCGAGAATAAGCCCCGCGGTCGAGAAATTTGACCGCTAGGTACAGTATGCTTCCTGTAATAGTTTTCATTTGACCTCGGCAAACATCCGTTCTCCGTCTAGATGCCATTTAGCCCAGCCCGAATAGAAGATCAAAGAAGTATGGATCCTTTGTACATACCCGAGCTGTGATAATGGCATTAATGATGTCGTCTTTCTCTATCACACCCGTATTAATCTTGAGTCCGTACGCTTGCATGTAATTCTTCAGCTTTGACAAAGGCACTGAGCGCAGAAAGGTTTTCCCTCCCGCGGTGACTGGGCAGGCCTCAGATGAGCATGCGTATGGGCGGGTATACACGGGAGTCCTGAGAAAGAGACGTACTCTGGAGATACTGGATGCAGAAAGCGCAGACTGGCATGCAGTCATATCCGGCTTCATCGCCTCTGCGTGGCATGAGGGCCTGATAGTCCGAACACGAATGGCAATACGAGTAGCCTGCAATACAAGACACAATTGGATCAGCGCTCTGCAAAGAATGATAAGCAATTAATCTCGTAAACCGACCGCAGTGATTACAGCGCCTTCCTCGGGTGAAGAGGATATTGAACTCCTTGTTACATTTCCTGCAAGACAGCTCAGCTCGACCGTCCACGATCTCTGGTGGTGGTCCACTTAGGAGTGGCATTCCTCGCGGCATCTCAGCCATGATGAGAACCCTCAGGTGCACCAGCACGAAGGAGAGCTGGGTGCTGTGGAGATTACTGGTATTTGAATGGTGGGGCTAGAGGGAATTACACGACTTGCTGAGCTACACTATGGAACTCTCTAGATCTGTACCTGTACCATGGCATCAATGCAGTTCGGATGAGATCAGCAACGCCGGTTGCAAACAGCCGGTGCACGTGCATTAACTCACGTGAAAGGGTCGGCTGGCCGAACTTCCGGATCGACGCCCCGGAATTAGTAACTGTTAAATTAGCAACTAGACGTTCGTCTTATGTCACCTGGTCCTCTTTAGCTTTCCCCTTAGCGTCGGTCTCTCTTTCCTTTCTGCCCTGTTTATTTCTCCCGCCTTGGCGTGTTGCCACAAATCTTATGAGTTAGCACTTCGAGCACGGTCTCACACATTGACAACGAGGCTGAAAATAGACGTGTAACAGGCTGCCATGAAGTTTGCCAGGTGAGTTTCTTCTCTTCTTTGTCTTGTCTTGGAAACTCTAATAAGAGAGCCTTTCAAAGATACCTTCAAGATACCCAGGTCGGTTTTAGTCGTTTGCCTCGACGCATGTTCTGATCTAGTTTTTCCAGACGCCCGAATGGAAAAAGGCGTATATGTAGGTCTTGCGTCACATAAGAAGGCTCGGTCACTAATTACGAGAACGCTTCAGCGACTATCGAGGGCTTAAAAAACTAATCACGGCTATCAAGAACGCGCAGCAACATGGCGATCTGGAGACACTTCCAGAAGCAACAGAGTCACCGCGGTCATCTCTTTCTGTGGATGGCCGGGCTCGCAGCACATCCAGTGTGCACAATTACGGAAGTACTGGGTATACACCACCGCTGAACAGCAATGATATAGATGCAACCGTCCCACCTGTCCATTTACCGGACTCTGCCCTACAACACCGGACTTGTGGCAGTCCTTCGATATCAAGGACTCGTACCGAGTCAAAGGGTTCCCCAAGACCTAATCATAATCGTTCAAAGACCGATGTAGGAGCGCATGATTTGCTTTGAAATACATGGCCTATAAATGTCTTTAAATTATCTCAGATGGCCGTTAGGCAAGTTCAACGTTCACGTTCGACTATTCTCGGTTCTTTCTCTGGCAGAAGTGAGACAGAAGGACAACACCCAAGTGCTGCACAACAGACGGGCTTCCTCGCGAATTTGCGACGCAGGCGAACAGCGCGTTCTGGTTGGTCGTTACATTCAACCATAATCCATGGACTAATATCGATTTTTAAAAACTTCACATTCAGAACGCGCGGAAAATCTGAGTGGAAGAATCGCTCTTCCATTGTCTGTTATAACAGCGCAGCTACCTCCTATCGAACGAAAGTTCATCGATAAATTAGACAAGGAACTCGAGAAAGTGGAGAACTTCTACTTGGAAAGGGAGCGGGATGCCAGACTTCGGTGCGCTGTCAAAAAATCATTTCGAAATTAGTGCGACGTCTAAGTCACATCGTGTTGAAGTGCTGCTGCACTTAAAGAGCAGTTACGTGAATTAGAAGACCATCGCAGACTATTTTACGTACGTCAGTATTGCACTATGATATTCTCGCTCTAATCGTCACTTTCATTCCTATAGGAGTCGAAAGCGGCTGAGACGAGATGGAAATCGATGTTGGTTCCGCGTAATGTCGCTGACAGACTTACAGACATATCTATGCCATCAACAATACGAGGTCCGAAGGCAGCTGCGAAACCTATTGATGCCACTCAGGTATTATCGCCGACGTCGCCGACCTCCACAGGTTGGTGCAACAATCCTATTCGGGCGTGATGAAGCACTAACGCTGGTGGTGTTTTCCCCCCACTTTAGAGCCTGAATCGTATAAAGGCTTGCGTTCTCGCTCGACGTCTCCGAATAATACGCGTGTAGGCTTCGGACGGGCCAAATTGGATCCTGACGAATACAAAAATGCGAAAAAGAATCTCAAGAAAGCGATCTTGGAATATTACAGGTCCGTCTTGGGATCGAATCAAATCTATTGATGAGAACTTATAGGTCGCTTGCGCGACTCAGAGGTCTTGAACTGCTGAACAACTACCGAGTAAGACTGAATAACCGTTGTATGTGATTGCCGTGCTGACCTGGTATTGCTTTTTTAGGTACTGAACCTAACTGGTTTCCGGAAAGCTCTGAAGAAGTTTGAGAAAACTGTCAAAGTACGTTCGTCTCGTGCGAAATGATTATTACGATTAATAAACCATATCGTTTACAGGTGCCGTATATCCAGCAAGCTTACATGCAGGAAAAGGCTAGCTGCGCTTTTGATCTTCCCTGAATATCTCATTCTTACTTCAAATTTCAGGTGGAAGTCTCGGCATTCGCATCCGGAGCAATGATAGAGAAGTTGCTCAAGGATATCGAGGATCAATATGCTGATCGTTTCGGTAATTATTTATTGAATACACTCCTCGTAGTGGTTGGAAGCTTAATAATGTCACCAGAACACGGGAACATGAAAAAGGCGCGAGCTCGGTTGCGTGCAAGCGCAAAACACAAGAGTCACCATTTCAGCACCTTTCGTTCCGGACTATACCTCGGACTAGCACTACCCGCTCTTGTTGACGGTATCTTCAGATGTACGTAGTCGTTACACATCACAATTACTCCCGTTATTAACGGTCCCCTTCTTCGGCCCATTATCTACTTTCTCATGTAGCCTTTCAGCCCGAAGTTCGGGAGAAGTTACCATGGGACGCTTTACTTTACGTTTACGCCACATTCATGATACCTATTTTCTTTGCACTCCTCGTTGGTATCAACATCTGGGTATGGAATCGATGCCGTATAAATTATCAGTTTATTTTCGGTATGACCATTCCTTTCGACAGTGCATTTTCCCGTTGCCATTACACTTGATTTTGTTTAGAACTCGACGTGCGGTCCCAACTTGATGGCCGAGAGTACTTCGAAGTCAGTGGCGCCAGTGAACTACAATACAATGAACATACTAATTCAGTCTGCTGTTAGCTCCCTGCCTTCCTATTAGCCACACTCATCTACGCATTTTGGCTATCCTTCGCGCAAATTGGTACGAGTAACGTTGCTTCGACGACCTGGCCTGCGATTTGGCTACTGTTCGCGCTAGTCATCCTCTTCAACCCCTTCCCGTTTTTGTTCCCGAACGCGAGATGGTGGCTTGTTCGGAAAGTTGGGAGGCTACTCGTTCCCGGAACTCATCCTGTTGAGGTATGTCGCGTTCTGAGGTCGTCATTTTCAATTTTGACGTTTATCTTACCCATTGTCTCACTTTACCTAAAATCGATAGTTCACGGATTTCTGGCTCGGGTAATTCTTCACTGCACATGTATTCCGACTGACACACAGTGCTTACTAACTTTACCTTGCACTGTACAGTGATCAATTCTGCAGCCTCATCTTCACACTTTCCAACCTCTATTTCGTTGGCTGTGTTTACGACCAGCACTGGATATATCCATTCAACAAATGTAGCGCGTCCATCCACTGGGGTGTACCGTTTGCTGTCGGCGTGCTCCCGCTGGTCTCGCGTGCCATACAGAGTGTGAAACGTTACGTCGATTCGCGATTATATACTCACTTGATCAACGTGCGTTATTCGATTCTACGCCTTCTCGTTATTAATATTTTGTGTTTTATTGTTGATATGTTGTACAGGCTGGCAAATATTGTTCAAGTATTCTTTATTACGCAATGTATTATTCCTGGAGGCATCACAGTACGTTCCGCCTTTCTCTCTCACTATACTATCCCAAATTAACATTTGTATCGGACTTTTTGTACAGATCGAGCTCATGATTACACGCTTGTTCTCTTCTGCATATTCGGGACGTTTGCTTCTATCTATACTTGTGCCTGGGTAAGTACTCTGTCCCATTTCATCGAGACTTCTCGTTTTTCTGCCCAAGTGAAGGAAGAGCTAAGTGAACTCTGTTAATATAGGACATCCTAATGGACTGGTCCTTCTTCAAACGACCTGCCCAGCACCGATTCCTTCGAAAGGAACTTGTCTATTCAAACCATTATTATGTGCGTGTCTTTGTTTCCATGTCATTTGTTATTGAAATCGAGAAATGTATAATGGAATATTAACAGGTTTACTATTTCGCTATCGTGCGTTATTTTGTGTTCTGCTTTCGGAAGCGATCTGCTAGACCAAACGAACAATTTTACTCAACGACAGATAACAAATATCATCGTTCGGTTCCAATGGATACTCTACATCCCAGTCCCCAATGACGGGTTCCAGCTGCGTACTTTCATCGTCGGTATGCTCGAGATGCTCCGTCGCTTTCAATGGAATTTCTGTAAGTAACATCAATCCCCTCACTATACGAATTCCTACACTAATAACATTACACAAATTGATACGAATATATCGCGACAAAAACCCACGACTCCATGGCACGTAAAACACGACAGTCCGTCTCGAAAACGAACACATCGGTAACACCGATCAATACCGTGTCACTCGGGAAGTGCCACTCCCATACAACTTCGACGCGCGAGAAGAGCGCGATGAATCGGATGATGATGAGCAAGATGCGGATGAGGAAGGGAATGGCGGTAGTCATAATGCACGGTTTAGTGTGAAAAGCAGTTGGCGTCAACGCTCGGTGAGGATGAGACAGTTGTCGAGCGATGAGGAACCGGGGTCGTCTAGGGAGCCGTGAGTTAGAAACATCATTTCGAATGCCCTTCCACTGCCGAAGTTGGGATTTGCCTCGATCTTGTGAATATGGTATATGGTACACGGAATGGGGGAGTTATCCTGCATGTAGACACCTTGTTGGTCGTTGGCACAGTAGAGCCAGCTAGCTCTCCTTCCATCAATTATTCCTTGTCCTACCATCCTTCACTGCCCAGGTGCCACCCTATATGAGACGTCAAAGTCGAGTAGATTACTTCATTGTTCCGGCAATCTGCTCAATCTCCCTGGCAATCAGACTATTCGGACTCGTCTTTTTCAGTTGCCTGCGGAAAAAAAGTCACAACTCGTCAGTCCTCCATAACCCCAAAATACAATGAAATAGGGAAACCCACTCAAGTCTTGCCTTATCTCCTCTCTCCTTACACTCCTTCGCAGCCATCCTCCACTCCCCGCACTCCACGTATAAATCCACGCGTCTCCCTGCATCGCATTTCGCCACATACCCAACCGCCTCACGTGTATGCCCTTTACTTAAAAGGTGTTGCACGAACGGCTCATAGCCAATTGGTGATTTCTTGGAACGTGCGAAAGCATCGAGGGATTCAAAGTCCCGCATTTGTGTAAGGGCATACAGCTTAAGGTACCAGAAACTAATAATCATTTGAGGATATACATACGATTAGGGTGTCAAATGGCGGATGGGGAGAGTAAAAATAAGAAAAACGTACCGTTTGTCAGGTACTTTGAAGTCTGTACGCACTTTCTCAACACGTTTCGCCATACCGTTCAGTAAACACATCCGAATCGTCTCGCTCACGCTAAGTCCGAAGAACGTGATTTTCCCGTCCGATTCTTTCTCTAGCTGTTGCTGGAGAGTTAGAAGTCTGACATTCTCGTCCATCATCTTCGAAGGGTCGACTGTTGAGTTAACCAGTATTTGGCAATATTTTTAAAAAATAAAAATCTACCTTTGCTTCGAAAGCGCGATCTTTGTCTTCCGAGAAGAATTTCTGTGCAGCTTTGATAGCGGTCATCTTCGCCTCCGGGTTCTATTGAGTATCAAATACATCAAGAGTGTGACATATGAAGATGAGCCTGTTGACTTTACCGTCATAGTCCGCGCTTCTTCTAGCAAGAGCACTGCACTATCCACTCGTCTATCATCGGAATAATAAAAGTCGCGAAGCATTTCTCGGTCTTGTTCACGAGCGTACACCTGAAGTAGCCGCGCGGCTGGAGCGAGTGCAGGTCCACCATCTTCAATGAGTCGGAAGAATGAGCCCAGTGAAAGACTTTTCTGGAGATGCAGTAGAACACTGTAAACTAAGACACAATTCTCGTGAGTTTCTCTTTTAAATATTAGGAGAGTGTGTGCATACTCAGATCTGTATCTCCACTGTTGACCGCCTTTGTCAAGGCCAGACGATCTTCCTTCATTTCCAATAGCAGTGGCACCTGATCCGACGCCTGCGATTCATAGTCCAGAAGCTAAACCATCCATCGAATCCAATCATTCATCGTCCAAAACCACGGAGTAAACTAGCAAACAAACCTTCGTTGCAAGGCCGGGTCTTCCGACCTCCCAACTCCGCTTCGCAATGTCCGCATACCTCACCCTTGCTCCTCCTGCGTTCTTGAACTTTTCCGTAATTGCACGGCACAAGGCCTCATCACTCGCATCCATGTCTGCCTCTCCAGCACCAGCCTTGGCCCGCGCGATTTTTGCACATGCCCAGTGTTTGAGCACCGGGTCGGGTGGCAATGAGAGGTACGTTGACATGCGGAGTGCGAGAAGATGGAGGGCACGAGCGGTGAGGCGTGCGATTAGATGTTCTGGAGAGGTGTAAATGAATTGTGCGTAGGTAAGTGGTATACCGATCTCGTAATATCGAACTGCGTTAAGGACTTTGAGCGTTTGGCCCATTTGTACAAAATCGGTTGGGTTGTGTAAATCGAGGAATGATCGTCCAAATTTTGCCGCCTATAAGAAACATTAGTGCCATGAGCCTAATCAACGTAGTCGAGATTTTTTTTACAAACATTCAAGAGTTTCCTTTGCCACTGAGGTTCCCATTCTCTTCCAGCTGCATCAATACACTCATCCACAGCCTTTGCAAGTTCAGGTTTTATGCTACGTATATTCTCATCTGCTTTAGGCGCGCGCTTCTGAAAATTCTCCCATGCGTCAAACAGGATCGCCGCCGGTGCAGTTGAACCAGGACGGAAGACATTCACAGACGACGAAGGCACCTTCTGCACAAAATCGCATACGTCAGGTCCCAAGATACGTACACCATCGGGTTCACCGATTATATAGGTCGGACCCGTGTAATAGAAACTAAGCGTGTCACCAAACGGCCCAACAAGCAATGCAAGGCGATCCCATGTTACAAGTACTGCGTCATTACCGCACCATTCTATTTGACGAGGAGGGCCTGCGGCTCCTTCATTAGCGCGGCTGGATGTGTCGACTTCCGCGAGACTGCGTTGGAAATCTGCAGAAACAACCCACAGCAGGCCGGAGAACGTAACAAGCGCAAGGGATTTCCCGTTAGGTGAAGGTGCAAGATGCGTGAACGGTCCACGAGATAACCGTTGATCAACGCATTCAAGAGTATCAACAGAAAAAACAGATGACGATGTTGTTGGTGAAAGAAGTACTTCCGTGTGTCGTGATATTGTTAGATCCGGCGGAATGATTGTCCACGTGTGTGGAGGTTCAGTAAGACCAGGGCTCGTCAGTGCAAGTGGCTTTGCACCAGTGAAACCTTTCACATCCAAAAGGGCGAGTGCACCGGTCAAAGCTACAATCCCCCCGCCGTGTATCCGAGCGTCAACGACGCCAGTCTCAGACGCTTCCGAGCCAAGTGAATATTGCTGGTACTCTCCTTGTAGATCGTAAATTCGGTAGACTCCCTCTTCGTTTAAGATGACTAGACGCTCATCATATGACCAGCCAAACTTCACAATTTTTCCTTGATCCCACTTGCCACATATTAACTTCTAACCATGTAAATAAGTCAGATACTCACTGTAAACACAAGAAGCCCTTCTCCCGCAGAGGAATACACCCGGACTTCGTTCTTTGCAAACGGAATGCTTCTTCCGAGAGCAATCATTTTCGTCGAATCTCTCATCATAGCTGACAACAACCTCGTTAGATTTTTAAATAAATAAAAAAACAGATTACAGAATGCGTACCAATAGGGCCTCCAAATCGACAACCAGCAATGATGAAGTCATCGACGTTCGGTAGCTTATCTTGAATATTGTATAGCTGCAGGCGTCTGTAGAACACATTTCCATCCTGCATGGGCTGCCACGTCGCCGTTGGATGTTCGACCGCCATAGTGTCGTTAACGAGCTTCAGGCTGCCGACGTTGGACGCGTTGAATCGTGATGCCATTTGCCCATTGATTCATTGAATAGAGTACGAGTGGAAACTCCTGAGAGCCTGTGGGAAACTAGTTTTCCACAGGTCATTTTGCTAGGGCCTCTGAGTGTGGTAAACCTCGCGTGGACAACACTTAGTCATTATATTAGTAATATTATTATAATGTTCAAAAAAGGAAAATTTTAAGAATTTTGTGCTGTTTACCTCTATTAAGCTGAAAATTTAGTTATGATATTATTTTCAGACATTAGTTATACTGTTGAGAGCAATCTCATTATGTTTATAGTCTACCAGTGTTGAAACCTACATAATAAATAGAGATATCTAAGAGAAATAAAAGAAAGAGGTATTCAGACAGAATACAAGCTCAAGTGTATAGTTGATAGCAACTATCCAAACTTCTTCAGTTAGAGCAAAGGTAGAGAAATTGTAGCATTAGTGTAAAGGTAAACTGTCTGGGAGATTGAGAAGCTATCATTTCAACTCAAGTAGCTGTGTATCAAGGTTCTTAAGACTTAATAAAATGACAGACATAGAGTATATACACTCTCAAACTATCTATTTTCCTTACTTTTTGTTAGGTTGAGGCATTTTTTCTTAATGTATCTACTAACATAATATTATGTATGACTAATACATTTGAGTTTTCTACAAGCCAATTTTTGACAACCCTTATAGTAGTAAGGTTTACCTTGTAGGAAACCTCTGTAGTAATCCTTACTGTAGGAAACTAGGGAGTTTCTACTTGTACTCTATCATTAAACACTAAAGCACACTAACAGGTGCATTACATAATCCTGGACTGAATCCTGGTTCTGTTATATTTAGGGGTCCACTTTTCTCTATTAATGTGTAATTCTGTAGAGTTTGAAAACTTACTAAACTAAGTAGTAAACTAATTAGTAAACTAGTTACATTGTTTCTACATCTGAACCCTGAGTCCTACAACTCTTTTTAGGTTAGCTCCAACTGGCCACTCACAAATCAACTTGAATTTCACTAAGTCAAAATAAAGTTATTTCTCTAAGAAAATATATATTCCCCTCCCTCAAGCCTAACTAACACCCAACTCAACACTTAAACTTAACAATCTAAACTGAACCTAAACCTAATTGGGAGGGCTCTACCCCCCCAAACCCCCCTCCTAACTTCTTGGTCTGTGAACCAGTATACAAGTATTATGTAAGTGGCCAGTCAGGGTTGTTCTAAAAAGAGCTGTAAGACTCAGGGTTTAGATGTAGAAAGTTAAGACTGTTAGTAAACTAATAAATAAGTGTTTAGATTAAAATTGTCTTTGTAGAAAAGATTTTCTGCTCCCTACATATATTTTAAATTGACAAAAAAATATGAATAGTATTAAAAAGATAATAAAGAAACTTTTTACAGAAGGAATTTTGATTTTATTAGAAACTAGCTAAAATATAACTGTTTTACACTCTAAATCAATTATATCTTAAGTAATAATTTACTTCTAACAAAATCCTTCTGTAAATCTTTTAATAATAATTTATTTTGATTTATAGTAATGTTTTTGTGTAAGTTAACTAACCTCTGTATAAGGAATAAAATAAAGAATGAGGCCAGAATGGTTGTAGTTACACATTGTCACAAAGAGTGAGTTGTATTAATTCTACATTCAGACCCTGAGTCTTACAGTTCTTTTTTAGTTAGTTTGAATTGGCCACCTACAGTTTAACTTAAATTTCACTAAGTCAAAATAAAGTCCTTTTCTAATAAAATACATGTTCCCCTTCCTAATCCTAGCCAAAACCTATCCTAACACTCAAACCTAACAATCTAACTTATCCCAAACCTAATTAGAGAGTAAAGCCCTCTAAACCCTTGTTAGTGTGTTAAGGTTACAATGTTTCCTAAATGATAGGAAATATTCTTCTGTAAGTTTGTACACTACTTACAAGGATACTAAGAGTTAGTTATACTAGTAAGAGTTTAGTAGACTCTACTCATAGTGTATAAGTGTTAATACAAGTTGACTGTATAGTTTATAATAAGCTTTATTATTCTTAGATTAAAGTAATATATATACTATCTAATATTGTATGTCTTGAATGTATGTCTCAGAAGACATGTCTTAGTAATAGTATATATTTGTAAGATGTTTGTATAATTTAAGACATATAACACATTTATCTAAAATAAATGTTAATACTCCTCTTCAAACTTATACTAGTTGATCAAACTAATATAATGTTTAATAAATGTTTGTCTGTTGTTTTTACTAATATCATTTACATTTATAATGTAAATGTTTCATTTGCTTCATATATTAAGTCTACTGTAAGTGTTATGTTTGTCTAATGTATTATTATTATGTTTGATGTAATAAATCAATTGTTAATTCAATTTTGATTGCTAAGAGAGCTGTAGAATCTCTTTAGCATTTGTTTGTTCATAGTTTTATTATTATTACTATTATAGTTGTTACTATAATGTTTTATCATTCATATAATAGTAGTTCTTCTTATTCATAATATATTATAATATAATATAACTTTGTTTCATTTGTTTTTCATGTCATATTGTTTGTTTTGTTTCATTTGTATAGTTAATACTATATTTAATAACAATGTGTGTGTTATTAATTTGTTCTCATTAATTTGTATTTTTACACATTTGAATTGTGTTACTAGTAGTTTTTCCACTTTTACTTTTACAATGAAACTGTTGAATCATGCCTGTAAAATGTACTGTCAATGTTATTATAATGTCCTCTATTTATTATGTATCATCTTTGTTTGTATTTGTTTTGTATTCATACCTTTTAAGCATTTAATAATAGTTCTATACCTTTATATTGAAGCATTGTATTGTTTGCAATTTGTAATATTATTTATGATATGTCAGATTACTTCATATCAAGGTTGATTAAGGTTTTATTTGTTGTAATTTGTTTTATTTTATCATCTGACTGTTTGTAAGTCTGTTTAGACACATTATTTATGTTTTAAACATATAGTATATTTGTATTGTTTTGCTGTTTTACAATAGATATATTTGATATTGTTATATGTGTGCATTGTGTTTGTTATTGTTTAATGTGTCCTTTGACTTTTACAAACTATAACATTATTTGTATGTTTGTATTGTTTTATTGTTGTGATAATGTTTTTATTATCATTATATAGTGTTATTTAATTAATATATATTACTTTGTACAATTATAATATGTGTTTGTTGTTTTTATTTCATAGATAGATGAAATAGTGTATTTCACAGTTCTATTTTTCATCATATATTATAATATTTGTTTGTTTATTGTTTATTTTGTATCAAATTCTGTTTGATATTGTTTTAATTATTATATTTGCTTTATTTGCTGAATATATGTGTGTGTTTGTTATGAAATATGAATTTATTTTGTTTATTTTGAGTGTATCACTCATTTTTGTTCATTATAATTAATGTTATCTTGTTTTATTCAAAGGGATTAATGTTTTGATTACTGTTACATCTGTTACTTCTTTTAATTTTAGCAAGTGCTTTACACATCTAGTGTAGATTGTGTTAGTAACAGTGTAGAGGGGACCCAAAGGCTCAGTAAGGGGACTCAGGCTACAACTATCCTACACAACAGAAATACAGAATGTAAGTACTAGAATGTAGTCAGAACTTGCAGAACAGGCAGAGAGAGAGAGTGAGACAAGAGTAGAGTATATAGAGTGAGCCTAAGAGTACAGGACTACCTAGAGTAGACAAGATCAAGACTATAAAACCAGTCTGATCTTGTACACCTATATATACTAAACTACACAAGAGTACTCAGAGAGTATGAGCTACTAAGAATGATAAGCTACAAAGAATGAAAGAAAGGAATGTCAAAGATAAAGGTACAAAGAATGAAGGGATGGACAAAGAGTAAGAGACTATAGAATGAACAGAGAATAAAGGGGTAGTCAAAGGAATAGAATGATAAAGTAAGGAAGGGTAGTAGTAAGAGTCAGTACACATATAGTCTATAGACAGTACTTGTAAAGTATAGAAGTTCTGAGTTCTAGTACAGAAG